CCACCTTAGGTGTACATGGCTGATGCCTTAGCCACTTGAGCCACAGGTGCCAAGCCAAGAGCTTAACTCTAAAGCCCTTCTCCTAAGGGCTGCGAGGGCAAGGACAGTGTCGCCCTGCCTCAACACAGACAGACTGAGGCCCAGTGCAGGGCTTGCCTGCTTCTGGCCACCAACATAGTCAGGAACTGTTTCCTGTATCAGTTCTGGCAGTGGCATACCCTTCTGTGTCCTTAGTCCCACTGTTTTGTTATGTCCTGGCCTCATTACAATCTGGCCCAGCTTCATCCGGAGAGGCAGGAAAATCTGTCCCACCTTCTCTCTCCCTCTCCGATCCACCACCACCCCTCATCCTACTCCCTGCCCAGACCCCTTTCTGCTCTTTCTGAGCAGGGGCATTCCTGTCCTACACGAACACTGCCTTTCTGCCTAATAAACAAGACAATAAACAACCAAACGTTATCACAGGGCTGGGCAAAAATGCACCCACAGCTCCACACAACCAGTGCTAAGTTAATAATTAAAGACACAAGCGTATAGCACCCTACAAAGTGACCAAAGTGCCTATATCTTGCCTTCCACAGATCTTTGGGACCTGTTGATCCTCCTCAGCCAGTTCCGTGTCCTTTCTTCATTCCTCACTGGACTGCCACCTCTAGCCATTCAACAGCCCTGTCACCTCTGCCTATATCCTCAGGCTCTCTTCCAGGCCCTTAACCACAAGCCAACCAGAAACACCGGGCACAACTGATGCTGCCATATTCTCAGGAGTCCCCAGTACAAATTCCTGCAGGTTAGCCTACAGGGCAACCAGGGGTCACAACACCAAACGAACAGGCTTAAAAGACTAGTTCTAGTTCATATAGAGCAGGGGTCCTCAAACTACGGCCCGCAGGTCACATGCGGCCCGCTGAGGACATTTATCCGGCCCGCCGGGTGTTTTTGCCGCAGATGCCTGTCCTGCTTAGCAGCCAACTCGTCCCGGGGCCCACAGTCTGGCCCTCCAACAGTCTGAGGGACAGTGAACTGGCCCCCTGTCTCCAGGTATGGGCCAAGAGGTTCTCCTCTCAGCCATGTCTGGGGATGTAGGCAGGGAAAGGTAAGGATAGACAGCCAATTCCTTACCCATTCCTGCAGCAAATTCTGAAACAGAAATATGTGGCTTGTTTATATTTTAATCCCTACTGCTTCTCTACTTCCATATCCAATCATTTGTCTCCCTCACATTACCCACCAGTATCCTGCCTCCCCCACTCTTGAACCTTGTTCCTCAGCCACTGACCTGATCTACTCTGTATATGGAGCCCTGACTGCTCAGCGTGAATGAGGAAGGGAATCCTACAGGGAGAAGGCAGAGAGCAGGGGAACTGCCTGAGGAGAGCTGGCCCTCACCTTCCCCTGAGCCATGGGAACAGGAAATGGATATGGCAGGCAGCAATGCTGACTAAGCTCTGTCCCCACCCCCAGCGGATACAGTTCTACAGTTCACCGGAGGTCCCAGAGCCCAGCCAAGTGCACTGCCCTGGAACCCAGCCTCCTGCTTCTGAGTCAGGGACAGGAGGGGACCAGGGGTTAGAATAATATGACAGCAAAAGCAAGTTAACTCAAGGATGGAGACACCCTACCCTCTACCTCTAGAAGCAATTCAGTCCCCACCCAACACTGGGCCAACTCCATAGGAAGATAACCTGAAATCACCTTTTATTAATTTGAGACAGGGTCTCACTCTGTCATGCAAGCTAGAGTGAAGTGGCATCATCACTATAACCTCAAACTTCTGGGCTCAAGTGATCCTCCTGCCTTACCCTCCTGAGTAGGCTGAACTATGTCCGACTAATTTTTCTATTTTTTGTAGATATTTTGCTTAAGCTGGTCTCAATATCCTGACCTCAAGCCATCTTTCTGCCTCAGCCTCCCAAAGTGCTAGGATTACAGGCATGAGCCACTGCCTGAAATCACCTAGAAAACTTGACTCCCATAAAAATTCATTACTGTTTGACCTCGGGGTGAGGAAGGATAATCTGTAAAGAAGTCACTCTTACAATCACCTAGAGAGATGTTTCTGAATGGATCATCGGACCCAGCCTACATGAGATCCCCTAGAGCAGGCATCCTCAAACTACGGCCCACGGGCCACATGCAGCCCCTCTAGGACATTTATCCGGCCCGCCGGATGTTTTTGCCACCCCTGTCTGTCCTGCTTAGCAGCTGACACGTCCTGGGGCCCGCAGTCTGGCCCCACTGTCTGAGGGACAGTGAACTGGCCCCCTGTTTAAAAAGTTTGAGGACCCCTGCCCTAGAGTAAGAACCTAGTTCTGGCACTAAGGTCCAGCATCAGCTCTAAAACTAAAAGCTAGAAAGCACTGGACCAGGCAGACCCAGAATGAAAAAGCTTACAAGCGCACTCTGGATCAGATGCCCTGGTTTGGGTGGTTTAGTTTAGATGCCTAAACCAAACAGTTCTCGAAAAAGAACATTAGGCAAACCGGGCACGATGGCTCAAGCCTGTAATCCTAACACTCTGAGAGGCCGAAGTGGGTGGGTTGCTTGAGCTCAGGAGTTCAAGACCAGCCTAAGCAAGAGCAAGACCTTGTCTCTAAAAGTAACCAGGCATTGTGGCCAGTGCCTGTTGTCTCAGCTACTTGAGAGGCTGAGGCAAAAAAGGATCACTTAAGCCCAAGAATTTGAGGTTGCTGTGAGCTATGATGCCTTAGCACTCTACCAGGCAGGCCAAGTGAGAAAGTGAGACTCAGTCTCAGAAGAAAAAAAAAGAACATCAGGCCAGGCATGGTGGCTCATGCCTATAATCCTAGCACTCTGAGAGGCAGAGGCAAGAGGATCCCTTGAGCTCAAGAGTTTGAGACCAACCTGAGCAAGGAGACTTGGTCTGCACTAAAAAAACAGAAAAATTAGCTAGGCACTGTGTGGGCACCTGCAGTCCCAGCTACTCAGGAGGCCAAGGCAGGAGGATCCTTGAACCCAGGAGTTTAAAGTTGCTCAGAGTTAGGCTGAGCCCATGGCACTCTTGCCTGGGGCAACAGAGTGAGACTCTGCCTCATAAAA